TGGCTGCAAGTAAGCTTGACGTTATGGATTTACACCCAGCAGGAGCCTGGAGAGAGGATGTTCTCCTGGGCTAAATTAATGATGGTAATTATGCAGCAGAAAGTCACTTTAAAGAGAATAAAATGCTCAAAAAATAGTTACCTTGGAGATTTAAGCCTGTGTTTCAGTGAATGCTGGCAGATACTCCTTATACTGTTTTTAAGGAAAGTTCCATTTGTTAAGAAGAAATATGCAGACTAGGAAAGTTTCACTTCTAACTAGGCTACTAGAGAGAGGGGGGGCAAGCAGGGGACAAGAGAAATGAAAGGGTCCCTGACCCTCACACACGCAAGGGGTCCTTCAGATAACAACAGACCAGCTGGAAGAGGAGACCCACCGATGGACGGAGGCAGGGCCTTCCCTTGATCTATCTCCCAGCATCGGCCTTCGTGGAGGCCAACGGGAGGAGGGGAAGAGGCCGTTCTCCTCCTCTTGGCCACCATCTTCTCCCAGGGTCCTCGGAGCATCAGCCGCCAACAGCTTTTGGGAGCCAGTCCTGCAGACGGACACGTCTGGAGTTTGTAAATCCAGAACTAGGACTGTTTGGCGTCAGTGTGCTCTTCTCTTCACAGTAATTAATTCCTTCTTTCTGTGAGAACTGAATACCACCTTTGTCTCTCCTAAAATTAGCACAAGCTTGAGTTCAGCCACTCCAAAGATAGTAGCCAGAAATTCAGGGAGAGGCTGGCGGCCCTTTTATTAAAAGGCAGAAGCTTTTGTTCTGGCTGCTCTTCTAGGGATTTGCAAGCCCCTTTGGCTTCATAACTGGCCAGACAAAACCTATTCAGCCACGGTTTATGGCCAATTGCTGCACCGATGTGATGTCCGCCTGTAGACTATCCTCAGCTCAGTCTGAATCCAGGTGGTTCAAGGTAGCTGCTGGCTGGCAGATTCGACTTCAGCTCAATTCATCCTCCAGGAGTTAAGCCCTCCGCCCAGCCTTCTGGCTGCAGTCCCGCCTGGGTTGGCCTGGCACTTGTTTTCCTGCCTTCGGTTCTCCCCATTGTGACCGTCTCCGGTCTAGTTTGTGTCGACACATCCAGGAGCTCCCCAACTCTGCTCCTCTATTTCCTGTTCCGAGCTTCGCTGTTCAATCTTCCCTTGGGAAATTCGGCCTCCACAAGGAGGCTGACTGGAGGAGCCTCCAGGTGCTCTAAACCAAATGCCGCGTTCAGTTGAGGAGCTGACTTCTTTCTTCATCTCTTTCAGTCTCCAAAATCCCAAGAGGCTTTTCACCCGGATTGGATTAATTTGGTCGCCACAATGTAAAAAAGATGTTGAGATTCCGGAAAGAGTGCAGAGAAGAGCCACAAAGATTTGACTGGAGGCCAAAACATACGAAGAACGGTTGCGGGAACTCAGTATGTCTAATTTAGCAAAAAGGAGGACTGGGGGAGACAGGATAGCAGCCTTCCAATATCTCGGGGGCTGCCCCAAGGAAGAGGGAGTCAAGCTATTCTCCAAAGCACCTGAAGGCAGGACAAGAAGCGACGGATGGAAACTGATCAAGGAGAGAAGCAACCCAGAACTAAGGAGAAATTTCCTGACAGAACAATTAACCAGTGGAACAACCAGCCTCCAGAAGTAGTGAATGCTCCAACACTGGAAGTTTTTAAGAACAGACTAGACAAACATTTGTCTGAAATGGTAGAGGGTTTCCTGCCTGGTACAGAAGACCTCCAAGGTCCCTTCCAACTCTTATTATTCTGTTAAATAAATGAATGAATCAACAAAACAAACCACGGCAGTGTCTTCCTCTAATTCTCCTTGCAAGAAAGGGCTTTGTGTCCAGAACTTCCGCGCCTCTGGCTGCCTCTGGCATTTCCACAGCAGCAGCAGCAGCAGCAGCAGCAGCAGCAGGGATGGTTTCACCAGGGTCCTCGGCCTGTTCTCTGGCCTCGTAATCCTCAAGTGGCCACGCTCTCGTCTTTTGTTGTTTTGAGTGTTTCCCATGTGCCTGGATCTTGTCCATTAACCTGACTGGTGTGTGTGTGTGTGTGTGTGTTAGGTTTCTGCCATTGTCTGCACCTCAACCAGCACTGTAAAACTGACCTGGAAGAGGGAACAGGGAATAGGGCAGAGGGATTGTCTGCTAGCGGCTGCTGGGATGAGATCCTGAGGCTCGACCCTCAGCTGGCCCTGCTCTCCTCAGAGAGAACTACGCTCGCTATTCCATCCTTTGAGTGGGTGCATCATGGATCCTGTGCCCCCTGCGCCAGTTGCAGACCCAACCACGATACCTTCTCCCACTGAAGAAACACGAGAAAGAGAAGCTCCCTCAAACAGAGACACGTTGAACTAGCAATAGGTCAAGTAGAAACAAGCCAGGCAGAGCATGTAAAGACGCCTCCTCTCGTAGCCAAAGACGGTCCAAGATTCCTAGGGGCAAAGGGCGCCAGCACGCTTCTCCTTGTCTGTAGGGTGACCTGCTCTGGTCCAGGCAAGAGTCTGGGTGGCTGTGGAAATCAAATTAATCAACACGCTTGGCTAAAAATGCCCCCACCTGTCCTGCTTCAGAGGGCAAACGGCTTCTTTGTTGAACCCATTGCTCAAATATTTCACGAGCTTACACTAAAAGATTTTGACCCAATTTTTTTTCTTAATTTTCTCTTGCCCTTTCAGGTGTTTGAAGAGGGCTAGCATAGCCCCCTCTGTCTTCTCAAGGCTAACCAAATCCCTCCGAAGAATCTCCCTTCAGGGACTCTCCTCTTCCTTCAGGCCTCCGGTCATCTCTGATGCTCTCCTCCAACCCGTCTGAGAGTCCGGTCCTCAGGGCAGGGGTGGGGTATATCCAACCCAAACAGAGTGGAGCTTTGGTCCTTTGGAAACAGCCTCTAGGCCTCCTGAATCTGCAGCCCCTTTTTCACAGCCGTGTCAGACTAATGAATCTTATTCAATTTACTGTCCACTATAATTCAAATGTCTTCTTTGTGAATATTCCCCATTTTATACCTGGGCATTTTATTTCTGTTTTTTAAATTAAAGACATTTCCTTCTGCTCATTTCTCTAATCCACCAAGACAGTTTTGTAGTTTGTTTCTGTCTATTGGAGTATTAACTATCCCGCTCAATTTATGTCATCTGCAAACTTGATAAGCATCCTTTACCTCCCTCATCAAACACATTATTTAAAACGTTTCAGTGGGCCGAACTTTTCAGCACCCCCTTCCATCCCTCCAGTTTGACAGGGACCCCCTGAGTGCCTCTCCATGATTTTTGTACCCCCTTACCTGTCATGCCATCCAACCCACTCTACGTAGCCTGCTAATCAGATTGGCAGAAATCCATGTATTGTGCAAATTAACCACAAAACATAGCAGCATTTTGAAGCGCCACAAATTATAGATAACAAACGTATTTAAGTCATTTGATTAAAGCAGCCAAAGTCCCTGCTGTGGCCTCTCCACTGCCTGCTCATACCACCTTTTTCTAAGGCAGGCGGTTCCCTCCAGCATTTCTGGGAATAGGCTCAGGGGGTCAGGAGCCCCTGTGTTTAAGGAGTCTCCCTGGGATGGGCCTGAGGCTGGCGCTGAAGGCAGTCTGGCCCAGGACTTTGGCAGCAACCTGAACTGAAGTACAACAATAGCATTCCCCCTAGTAAGATTTTAAAGCGAAAAGAAGCCCCAGTATAAGGATTCCAGCAAGAAGACACCACTGTTTAGAATCCATAGAGATCTCATGGTAGGACTTTTCTGAGTCTTTTTCTTGTGGGACCTGATTGGGGTGGGTGGGTGACCCCTCTTCTTTCTCTCTCTCGGCCCCTCACCCTCCCTCTTGAGAGGCAACTGAAAGGGCAAGACTCGCTGCATGGGGGGGCTTCTGTCAGGTGCTCCTGGACCTGCCATGGGCGGCTGGGCCACCTGTGTCTGCTCGCCTTCTCAGGAGCCACCATGCCGGGCATCCAAGGCCTCCCTCGCGCCCCCCCCCATGACTGCCTCTCGCCATTCCTCTCCCTCCAGGATCTTCTAGATCTCCCATCTGCGGGGGGAGTCCAGGGAGATCTAGTGGGTTTGCTCTTACTGGGCCCTGGGGAGGGGGGGCCCTTCGCCCGTCTTTGGACCACTGGAGTGTGGGGCTGACCCCCAGCAGGCTCCCCAGCTCTGCTCCTTCTGCCCCAGGGGGCCCCTCTCAGCTGCGGCCCTCCTGGCCCGGGGTGCCCAGCACCCAGAGGGGCGTCCCACCCGGGGAGGCAGGAGGGCCGGCCTTCCGCTCTCTTGGCTGCCAGGCCAGAGGGACGGGCGGCTGCTGGAAGGCAGAGCAGGGACTTGGGGGGGGGTCCTCCCAGGGGAAGGAGGACCCCCCCTCGTCCAGTCCCCCGGCTCCTTCGGCCTCGCCTGTCTTTTTGCTGCCATTGGCAAATTCACCGCCATTGCTTGCCCTGAATTTGCTGCAGCCGAGCAAACCCGGAGAGGCCTCGGGGATGCTCCGGAGAACTCCCCGCTCCCGGGCCTCGGACCGGTCGACCCCGAGGGATGCCGGGAGTTGTAGTTCGGGAGCCGCTCGAGGGCCACGGGCTCCCCACGCCCGCAACGGAGACCTGCTCCGCGGCCTCCGCCTGGAACGTCTGCATCGTCTCCCCGAGCCGGATCTGAGCGCCGCGCCCGGAGCCCGAAAGGGAAAGCCGAGCTAAGGCGCCCATGGCGGCCTGGGGGCGGGGGCGGGGGGGCAGCGCCGCAGGAGGCAGCCGGGGGCTTCCCGTCGCTGCGGCACCTGCTCCCACCAACGCCCCGCCCGCCCCGCCGGGGAGGAGCTGCGGCCGAGGCGTCCGGCGGACAGACCCAGCGCCTCGCGGAGCCTTCCGAGCCCAGCCCGCTTCCGCCGGAGCGCACCGGCACCTGCCAAGCGCAGCGGCGCCTGGGCCGGGGGGGGGGCGCGGAGGGGCCGGCGGCGCTCGGAAGCCCCCTCGGCCACCCCCCACCCGCCGCCCCCGATCCAGCTGCCCCGCCGGAGG